GGGAAGAAGGAAACTGCAACACGTGTAATAGCACGAGATAAGTCTCATTGATTGTTTGTTGCTTCATTCAATTCATTGTGTGAGAGCTGAGATACTTCCCGGGCGCCCACACCGAAGCAGGTGGTTTTATTAAGGGACCATCCCCCGAGCCTTTGACTTGGAGTCTAATCTGCAAGGCAGAGGAGCAGCGTCAGGAGCTGCATTCCCATGGTTGTCGGTGGCCCATATGGGTTAATACGCCATTTGATCCGATTGGATACTGAAGCCCATGTACCCCATGGTAACTGCTTTTGGTTTAACCGTTATCTAACAACCTTCCTGACATGGTAGGACCTGCAGGGACAGAGTCCCAGTCAGTTTAGTGATAGTGATAATAATAATAATAATAATCCAAGTAATAAGGGAAAGGTACATAGAATAACTAAATAAACAAAATAAATAAATATCTATCCCTCTACGGCCAAGGCAGAAGTAGGGATTGTACATACTTCTTTTGTACACAAAGGTCTGGCTTAAAGTCATGAACCGCCAAGGCCTCAGTTGTCTTTAAAAGTCTGTAACGAAGAAAACGCGGGAAGTTAGCATGGACTCTATATAAGATCTTGAAATCATGTTCAGGGTTGATCGAATGACAGAAGTCGATCAGGTGTTCCAGAATAGAGCTTCGCACACACTTCTTTTCTCCCTTGTAAAACCATGCTGAAATATGTTCTCATATCCGTGTGGAAAGCGTCCTCTGACTATGACCAATGTACCTTGCTCCACAAGAGCAGGTGAACTGATAGATGCACATGGAGGCGGCCAGACGGGGAGGTAATCTTTTACAGAGGTAGAGAACAACTTGCGACTAGTGAACGTCATATGTAATTTTGCTGCAAAGAACGTCTTACTGACTGATTTAGAGAGACGATTCTTCAGCATATCTGAAGCTTGATCACCTTTGAATTCCACTATTCTCAATCTGAATCTTTCCCACTTATCATTTTAAACCCAAAATTATTAACTTTCATATTTTTTGAATTCTATCTTATCGAATCTCACACCATGTCATGTCACATTTTATATTCGCCTACTAATCCTATAATTATGTACGCCTTTCCAAAATCTATACACCTTATGTATTGTTCTATAGATGACATTAATTATTTGGCCACTTGACATTAGACTATGATTATAATCACAAATATTTTAATTGCATTTCATACTACTACTGCTATTATTATTTCATGTATTCACACCTTTGACTTAATTCCTTCACCGGATATAATTTCTATATAAAACCATATATATACGATTGTACAGCTTGATAATATATTCATTATAACAAAGTTTTTTTTGTATTTCCCAAGGAATGAAAAGCAAAACGATATTTCTGTTTTTACTGACGTTTGGCTATTTAATGCTAATAGCTTTATCAAAGTATTATTAAACCAGAATTTACAAAGTCTCAGCTTATATGTAACAACGTAATCATCGTTCCTCAGCATGGGGTAATTTTAGCTTTGTGAAATTGGCCAATTAGTAAAGATGACAAAACCAGGTGTAGATTGTTGGGTTTGATAAGTGTGTAAAATTATAAAATCAGCGTGTGTCTTCATGATGAAATTGCTTATTATATTCGTGTTGATTTTGTCCCTTCACGGGGGAGGGAGGTGTTGTAACCGGGTCAAATTCTGTTTTAGTCCATCATTTCTATTCAGCTCAGACTATTTAAATTCCACTTGATGTGAAGTGCTTCTAAAATATGCTTACGGATTTGACGCTATGTATAACCGACATACTTCCCTTCACAGAAGCAAGTGATCTAGTGGACACACATTAAGGTAGCTAGGAGAGGTATTCTGTCCACTAGAAGAAGTAATTCTCAAGATGGCCGCATAGAATGTTTATCTCGAAAACTAGGATATAGATGGATTTTACGAATTTCAGCCTTAGTGTTGTCACCCTCGAATTCCAGTTTCATGAAATGAATTTTCTTGGGGACAGTTTGAAGCTGGATTGATGGTGGCTTTTCTCCCATGTTGCGGTCGATATATATATATATATATATATATATATATATATATATACGTGGATAACCATTTTTTATCTGTCATCAAGTAGGAACTTTAATACAATTTCTGCAGTAACTTCAGAACCAATCTTCCAAATTCTTAAAAATAACTAACAACTTTGTAGAATGCCATGGACTCTGTGATTGTATAGGAACTGAAAAAGTTCCTGCATTTTCCTGTCAAAGTTTTTTTGTGTTGAATCGAAGCAGTACTAAATGTATGTGACAATAAAAATAGTCTTGACGCTATTTCGGACTTATCAAATAATAATATTACCGATAGCTTTATTATGCAATAAAATGGACCCATACAAAAACCTGGAGGATCTGGACTTCGCCAATGATATATGTCTGATTTCCCACAAACTGGAAGATATGCAAGTGAAAAGCAACAAGTTGGCAGAAGAAGCATCAAAGATAGGACCTCCTTCAGGTGAACATAGAGACACCAGAGGTGATGAAGATTCCTGGTCAACAGCAACAACAACAGACGACAATCAGAATAATTGACAGGAACCTGAAAGAAGCAACCTCCTTCACCTACCGACCTGGGAAGCATCGTTTCAACTACAGGCGGACGGAACTGATGAGGATATCGAGGCGAGGATCGGGAAATCAAGATATGCTTTCATTTGAAAGAAGAGAACACGAATCAGAGACTTGGCGCGTCACGAAGGGCACTTCGAACAAACTACAGACCTTCATCAACAGCTATCTTTGCTCAATACCACTCAAGCTCAGAGGGCTGGCCAGAAAAGATCAGCAACAGAGATCTCTGGGAGTGAATCAACCCAGCAGGAACCGATTGTGCAACAAATAAGCAGGAAGAAATGGAGGTAAATTGGCTGGCCATACTCTGAGGAAACCATCAAGTGACATCACTAGACAAGCCCTCGTGTGGAACCCGAAGGGGAAGAGGAGATGAAAGCATTTGGACAGACGTGGAGTCGGGTGAGAATGCTGGCAGAGAACCGAACGCAATGAAGATGTGTGGCTGAAGCCCTATGTTCCTCTAGGAATTAAAGGAAACAATAATAATAATTCATTATGTACGATAATTTTACACAATATGCACATTTTCCAGCTTAGTTAATTGCATAATATTTACTCTTCATCCAAGAGTTTTAAGTAGAACAACCATTTCCTGTACATCATGTGACTCGGTTATGTTAAATGTGGAGAATAAAATCATCCATTGCGGTACTTTTCTTTGGTCCCACCGAAATGCTCATCGATAGACGATATAACTGAATGATTATAACAACCAGAACTGAAGAAAATAAGTCGCATTTTCTCTGACGGAAATTAAGGTAGCCCACAGATTCAAGCAGGCCGCTAAATCAGTAGCAGACGTGAGCATATTGAAAAAGACAAATGTTTCAAAGAAATAAACTTAGGAATTTACAAATTACACAGTTGAGATGAGAGATGAAAATTCGCCACGATTCCTTTTGGGAAGCTTAAAACATTCAGATTGTAATATGTGATCTTCGTGATACAGGTAAATAGGTTAATCAGAAAAGCCAACAATACATCACAATGGCTCCTACTACTGATTGATATAAACAGCTGAAAAGCGCTTGCATCAAACAGCAGTGCTTTGCTAGAACTAAGCTCAGCATAAAGAACAAGATTAAGGTGTACAACACCGATATCAAGTCAGCGCTTCTATTTGCCACAGAGACTTGGTTTGTCACCAAAGGCATTTCCAACATCCTGCTGCAGCCTTTCATTAACAACTGCCTTCCCTCCATACTGAAGATCAGGTATCCGGCCAGTCAGGAATAAATAATAAGAAACGCTGGCAAAAAGCCATCCAAGAACTTGTCACCCAGCACTTATGCCGACGGGAATGAAGATGGATTGGACACAGGCGCATAACCTGCCAGCGGAACCCGGATGGGAAATGACGAGTTGGACGTTCGACAGTGACATAAGGAAAATTGTGTGCACAGCAGATAAACGTTTATGGGCAACGGTGGAGCCATGTAAAAATGACTTCAGAGAACAGGGTGGAATGGAAATGTGCTGTTGGAAACCTGTGTCCCACATGGGACCCATGGGAATAATAATTACGTGATTTGAACTAATTAGACTCTCTGAGCTGGGTCTGAGGCGCTACACATCTTACGCTAGAGAGAAAAGGAGGGCCTCATTACCATTATATGTTGTTATTATTATTATCCTTCCTTCTACAGTTCTTAATATTATCAGGTTCAATCGTCTTTTTGGTTTGTGCTACCAGTTACCGTCATCAGCCTTAACATCCTGAGTGTAACTCATAACTTACGACATGAAAAAGCCTTTATTCGGTGTTTGTACTACATCAGTTCAATACATGTTTAAATTTTATGTATTATGTTTAACAAGATGAGTATTTAAGGATATTAGATGGTTGAAGGCAATTGGAAGGAAGCCTTCGTGCTTGCTGGCAGTCGTCAGCAAGGCGTATCTGCAACATTGAAGAAATTCATGTCCCTTCTGAGATTCGAACCCGCGTCACCCATTTCTGCAGTCAGAGGCGTTACCACTGAGCTATTCGGACTCGCGACTGCCCTCCTGTAGGACTGTATGGGATACTTTCCACTGGGCACTAGTCAGTAACTAGTGTAATGTGTGTAGTCCTTTCTTTGATACAGACTGAATTCTATCAGTCACGTTTGCAATGTAGCCACCATGCCACTAGGTGGCTCAGCATCACGGTGTACACTGATTTGAGGATATTAGATGGTGGTTGGAAGCAATTGGCAAGAACCTGACTGATAGAATTCAGTCTTCACCGAAAAAAGGACTAGACACATCACACTAGTTACTAGTATCCAATCAAAGATGAGTATTTACTGTTCACTTTTACAAAGATTTCATCGTACTACAAATGTGTATCACTTTCTCACATCCTGAAATAACTAATAAAAATCCTTTTTGTTGTTGTATACTTTGTGTCCAGTACTATCATCGAATTTTCCATGGCAAAGACAAACAGTAAAAAAGGTGAATGATGCTCAGAAAAATTTCACTGTTCACCCTTTGGTTGTTGTTGCTGACCAGTTGAATCGTCTACTGTCCAATCAATTTTCACGCGATAAAGAAGATAAAACAACAGTGGCACCAAATGCTGAAATGAAGTCGAATAAATCAGAGTCAATTGTGCTAATTAATGAATGCCTACCCGGTGGTGGGATAAGTAAAATCAGTGAACATTTAGGCAAAGATATTGTTACATTTTTAGGGATTACAGTTGTTATTGGTGGATTTTTATACTCAAGGTGAGTGAGTGAATGAGTAGTGATCACGGCATTCTTTATTATTATATCCTCTGTTATTAATTTTGATTAATACCATGCAATCCAGTAATCATTAGTAGTACTGTAACAACAGAAGACCAGGGCCACGCAACAGATCGTTTATTGAGGAAATCAACACATATTTATAGATTTTCCTGTACGTTATTCTAGATTATTGTTATCAGACAAATACAGTCTTCTGATTGGTTGTTTCTCACTGAAAGTTAACCTTGCATCTCTTTGTGACTTTTTTTTAATGTCAGATCATGTATCTGCTAATTGTATACGCCCACGCAAAGTCTTCTGTGATTGCTTGTTGAATCAGTCTTTGTTCTTGTCTTCACATGACCAGTATTTGGGACATAAACATTGACGTAAATTGCTGTCTACCGATTTGACTAGCAGAAAGCTCTCGCCACAGTACATCTCTGCGTTGAGCTGTCTAACTTCAGTTGTTTGGCTCAATGCTCTATGATATCGTCAAGTGTGACCACTAGCTGAATTCACTTAGTGAAGCATTGAAAACCAGCAGGGAGTGCTGGATAGCTGTTATGTCCTACTAGTTTAGTATCTATTCGGCAGTACGCATCCATGCCCATCCCACTAGTGATCGAATTCAACACCTTCAGGTTACACGATGGGCTTAGAATTCAATGGCCCATGAATTCTTACTTCTGCCGATTCCCACCCCCCTACAAATAATATGGCCATCAGCGAATGTCATCAGTGATTATCTGTTCTTACACCCAACTTGGTAGATCCTGTTGGTTACGGATTCTCTCCAGAAGATCACATTATTATTATTATTATTGTATCCTTTAGTTCCTAGAGGAACATAGGGCTTCAGCTGCGCACCTCCATTGACTTCGGTTTTCTGACAACTTTTTCACCCTGCTCCAGGTCTGTCCACATGCTTTCATCTCCTCCTCGCATGACCTCCTCCAAGTCACCCTTGGACGACCAACTCGCCGCCTCCCTTTCGGGTTCCACTCGAGGGCTTGTCTAGTGATGTCACTTGATGGTTTCCTCAGCGTATGGCCAATCCATCTCCATTTCTTTCTGCCTATTTGTTTCACAATCGGTTCCTGATTGGTTCGCTCCCAGAGATCCCTGTTGCTGATCTTTTCTGGCCATCTGATCTTGAGTATTGAGCGGAGACAGTTGTTAATGAAGGTTTGAAGTTTGTTTGAGATGCTCTTTATGACTCGCCAAGTCTCTGATCCGTATAGTAGCACTGACTTCACATTGGAGTTGAAAATCCGGATCTTATTTTTGATGCTGATTGCTGTTGACCTCCACACAGATTTGAGAGTAATGAAAGCTTGTCTTGCTTTTCCGATTCTGGCTTTGATGTCCTCGTCAGTTCCGCCTGTAGTTGAGACGATGCTTCCCAGGTAGGTGAAGGAGGTTGTTTCTTTCAGGTTCTTCCCATTTATGCTTATTGTGGTCTGTTGGTGTTGTTGATGTTGGCTAGGAATCTTCATCATCTCTGTTTTATCTATGTTCACGTGAAGTCCTATCTTTGATGCTTCTTCTGCCAACTTGTTACTTTTCACTTGCATATCTTCCAGTTTATGGGAAATCAGACATATATCATCGGCGAAATCCAGATCCTCCAAGTCTTTTGTGTCAGTCCATTTTATGCCTGTTCCCTCGTTGGTTGCCGTTGTCTGTCGCATTATCCAATCAATTGCAATCAGGAAGATCATTGGTGATAGTAGACAGCCTTGCCTCACTCCCGTCCTCACTTCGAAGGCTTCCGTAAGTTTCCCGTTGTGGATTACTTGGCATGCAGCATTGTCGTATAACTGTTGGATGAGGTGTATAATTGTCGATGGGACCCCGTAGTAGCGAAGTAGTTTCCAAATGACCTCTCGATCGACGCTGTCGAAGGCCTTTTCAAAGTCGATGAAGTTGAGATAGAGAGGTGACTGCCATTCCAAGCTTTGTTCAATGATGATCCGTAGAGTGGCGATTTGATCAATACATGATTTGTTTCTCCTGAATCCAGCCTGTTCCGGACGAAGTTTTTCATCTAGGGCTTGTTTGATTCTCTCCAGGATGATGCGACTTAGTATCTTGCTTGGAATGGACAGAAGCATAATTCCACGCCAGTTTTTACATTGACTTAAGTCTCCTTTCTTTGGAAGTTTGAATAAGTAACTGTTCTTCCAATCCTCGGGTACTTTGCCCTCTTTCCACACCTTCTCCAGCAGTGGTGTCATCAAGTCCGCTGTTGTCTCTGGGTCTATTTTCAAAGCCTCTGCTGGGATTCCATCTGGTCCCGGTGTTTTCCCAGCTTTAAGCATCTTGATTGCATTCAGGACTTCTGATTTCGTCGGGGGGTCAGTGTTCACTGGTAGTTCTGCTTCCGTTGTTGGTATTGCTGGACGTGTTGTAGGTGGCGGACGATTTAGAAGTCTTTTGAAGTGTTCAACCCAGTGCTTTCTCTGTTCCACCTCTTTGGTGATTGACTTTCCATTGTCGTCCTTTATTGGCTTAATCTGTGTCGAACGTTTGCCCGAAAGGTTCCTAGTTGTTTGGTAGAGTGTGGCGAGGTCTCCTTTGCCTGCAGCTTGTTCTGCTTCGTTTGCCATGGTTTCATAATATTTTCTTTTGTCTTCCCTGGCACTTTTCTTCACTCTTTTGTTCAGTGTATTGTAGCTTGCATTCAGCTCCTGTTTTTGTTGCTCGTCAGTGCACTGGATAATCTTTTGCTTCACTGTCCTTCTCTCTTCTATTAGTTTCCAAGTGTCCGTAGTGAGCCACTGTTTGTCCTGTCTCTTTTTTCTGCCTAGAATTTCTATGCAGGTTTGGCTCCACACCGTTTTCAAGTTGTTCCAGTGCTTTTCAACGCCGACCTCTTCGCTAGTGTTGATTTGTGTCTCGGCTTTGTCCTTTATGCTTGCAATGAAGATGTCCTTTGTAGCCTGGTCCTTCAGCTTTTGGGTGTTGCGTTCCCAGTGGAACATAGGGCTTCACGATTGAGCTTTTAATTTTCAGTAGCAGGGGGTTGCTAGCCTCGAACCAAACCTTTCCTCCGTGTCAAGATTACAACCGGCTTAGGGGCGGGGGTAAAGGTGTGCGCGGGCTGGGAATCGAACCCTGGATCACGTGGGTGGTTGGCCAGCACTCCATCTGCTGAACGATCGACGCACATAGATCCTAAAAACTAGTAGAAAGAAACAGCTATCCAGTACTACCTGTTGGTTTTCACTGGTTCTCTAAATGATGAAGACAGTTCGTGATCAAAATTGAATTTGACCAAATCCTTGCAAACCAAACCTTAGAAATGATATTGTTGCTTGGTATATATCTCCGTGGTCAAAGTAGAGTTCTAATACGTATACTCTTTGGTTGAAAATTCGCGTTTGCATTAAATTACCATGTTTTTTTGAGATATTTCATTTGACTTCCAAGTTACAGACCTATAATTTATGCCCACTATAGTCAACCGAATATTCAGTTAATCAGTTTTTCTGTCTCACTTGCAGTTTTACGGCTCGTTGTCATGTCAACGAAATTTGTGTTTTGTGTTGAATTGTGTATAAACGATATCTGAGATATGTCTGCATAAATAATTTCATTGTCTTTGTGCTTTTTTTAATCTAAAATGAAAATGTGCACTTAAAAATCTTAATGAATTCATAAAACGAAAGAGATTTATCTCACCTTGAAACTATTGCGTAATACCACTATGTTCTAAAGGCAGTGGAAACGGAGTACATGGGGTACATGGGCTCCAGTATCCAATCAGATCAAATGGCGTGTGAACCCATATGGGTCACCGACAACCATGGGAATGCAGGTCCTGACGCTACTCCGCTGCCTTGGGGATTAGACTCCAAGTCAAAGGCTCGCGGGGTGGTTCCTTAATAAAACCACCTGCTTCGGTTTGGGCGCCCGGGAAGTATCTCAGCCCACTGAACACAATGAATTGAATAAAGCAACAAACAACCAATGAAACTTATCACGTGCTATTACACGTGTTGCAGTTTCCTTCTTTCTTCCCTTCCCGATGATAGTTAACGAATAGTGTTTGAACTTGTTAAGCATGACTGTTTTCCTTCCAGATGACGTTCTTTATCCGTTCTTTACTTATATATTTTTTCCTTTCTTTCTTTTGATCTATGTTGTTTGTATTATTATTGTGTGGCGCATCCTTCTTGGTGCCATATTGTGCCAAGTTTTTTATGCGTTTAAATAATAAATATAAGTGGAAACGGTTATTTGGAAAAATTCAACGGTGGAATTCTCTGTAATTCAGAATAGTTGGTATTGAGCCACCACTTATTGTTCAAAGAATAGTGATACTGGAATTCGCGAATCCTGGTTACTAGAATGGGGTTCGAACCCGTGACTCATTAGTTAACAGTCCTGGCACCCTTGACCAATGAATCATAGCTTCAGGTTACCGGATAACTGTCTGTTTTTTTTTCTAGGCTGAAAATTGTCAGTCATATATCGATCAGGTTAACCATTTGAAGTATTCCGCCTCATCATCTGCATATTCCCTCCTGTCCCTTTGCATTATTTGATTGATGTCGGTTTGTGATTGCATGTGTATCCTGAAATAAAAATCAACAGCACTCCACAAGCCAGACAATCTGCTAAGACAAGTTTGTATTTGTCTAACTTTTATATCTGTCTTGCAAATATATTCATGATAATTAACGCCTTAATAAAGGATAGACAGATAAGAGGGACTTAGCATATTACTGTGTAGACATACGCACACTTACATATTACATAGGGGCCGATGTTGAAGGAAGATACAAAAAAAATATGTAAATGAAATTACTAAAAGCTGTGAAATTCTATAAGGAAAACTAAGAAATGAGAAAGTGAATAAACTGGTGTGATATATATAACAAGATGTGAGTCATTGTTCCCGTAAGCACCAATAGTCTTCAAATGAATATTTCGACTGTTTTATCAAGATTGTATACGAAATGACGTGAATTAGAGAACCTTTGGAGTAC